AAAGCTTTAATTTTATCATTAATTTGCAACGATGATTACCATTAGCTTGAAAAACCACCCTCGTGTTTTGCTTCCATCTTCTGACACAATATTCAGTTAGGATGTAACACTGCCTGTAGATATTTAGAGCCCCAACATGTTGCTCAGTTAATGAATTTGATCAATGGATGCAGCCACGAGGATACATACATAAGCTTTGTGTCATGTTCACACAGCAAGCTTTACATAAAATCTAAATAAAATCATCCAACATGCAAAGAGCACATGATTGTCCAGGGACAGAGCCCAGCGTTTGGACAGCCAGGCACAGAAAATGTTGGTTTGCTAACAAACAGGCTCACAGACATGATCTGGCTGGGAGGAGCTGAACTCTTCACACAGAGAAGAAATACATTAAAAAAATATTTAAAGACAATCCATCTGTTTTCTCCTCTGTTTATCCCCTCAGATGTGTTTCCTCTCACCCTGTCTGCCTCACAGTAAAAAGAAAGGATGGTAACTAAATGCTTTCAACTTGGCACGCCGTCAGAATGAAGCTCTTAAAAACAATTTCCCAAATTAGAAGGGATGCTGGATGAACTTGTGTGAACTATTTCAAAGACTAAAAACTAAAAGGAAAGAAATAACTAGGAAGAAGAAACCCTGGCAAGCCTTAAGATGGTGATGGTGTCAGCCACATAAAAGAGTTGAACTTATCATATAGCTGAGTTAAAGGTACGTTATAGCCTAAAAACTTCTGAGAAATGCTTATGTATAAACCGAGGTTATAGAAGATATTTGCTGTCTTGCCAAGAAGTAGATCAATGCAACACTCACATAGTTCAATGTATAGCTGGAGTATATGAATACGAGCCTGAGTCCCGCCCCTTAGTAAAGTTAATAAAAATAAATAAACCATCGGGCTCTCCCTTTGCCTCCCTGCCAGTTAGTGAATGTGATTGACCATATACCCAACCCATCTACACTGTAAAGCCCAATCCATCCATGACACAAAATATTTATGTAAAGGCCCTGACACACCAAGCCGACGGTTGGCTGTCGACCAAAGTCGGGCCGTTGGTGAGCGTCTGTCGCCCTAGTTTTTGCGGTGTGTCCTGCACCGTCGGCTTTTCGGCGGCTTTTCGGCGGATTGAGCATGTTGAATCGCTGGCGGAGCTTGTCGGTGAGAGAGATCACTCTGATTGGTTGTTCAGGTTTTATTTCCTCGCCCCTGTAGCGAGTGAATCTGCCTGTAGTGAAACTGGGGCTAACCGGTGCTTCCTCCTCAGGCTCCACTTCACTCAGCTGCCCCACAGACCCGCTGCTTCTTCTCACTTTAACCTGAATAACAAACCGGAGCTAGCTGGGAGCGGCTAGCGGAGCGTTAGCCACAGCATGACCGGAGGGAAGCACAGCCAGTTAGCCTCCGCTAGTCTCTGAGCTAGCCCCGGCTCTCCGTTTGGATCCAACCGGAGCACCGAGCCCTGGTTTGTTATTCAGGTTAAAGTGTGAAGAAGCAGCGGGTTTATCGTGCAGCTGAGTGAAGTGGAGCCTGAGGAGGAAACACCTGGACTGTCTGGATGTAATAGTCCGTGGAGGTGCTGTGGTGCTCGGCTGCACAGATAGGAAACCCCTCTGCTGACAGGATGTACCACTCTCTCACTCCGCTCTCTCTCACGCAGGCGCAGAACATACGTGCCACTTGGCCGTCGGATGTAGTCCGTGTAGTGTGTTCAAATGCAACTGACACAGGGCGACGTGAGGCTACGTAGACGACGCAACAGTTGGCTTTTGTCGCCACTAGTTCTTTGATGTTGGTTTGGTGTGTCTGCACCTTAAGTCTAACACAAATGCCCCAGTTTTACAAAATGACATTAAAACTTTATGACGACTTGACACAAAAACTCATCCCTTGTGAGCTTGACATGATATTTTTATGTTAAGTCAACAATTTTTAAAGTTTTGAGTTAATCTGACTTAAATTTATGAAGCAGATTCACCTACTTAGTTTAAGGCAAATAAACAACACTGTCATTGTGCACTTAACATACGGTGGCGTGTTGGAGCTAAATGGGTGGAGTTTCCCGGCACACCATGAGACAATGAGACAATAACACCACAGAGAGACTTAAGCTCATTAAAAACTCTGCAGTTCGGCTAAGAACCAGAATCACGAGGAGAGACCACATCAGGCCGGTCTGAGCTGCTCTGCACTGACTTCCTGTTACATTTACAATTGATTTTAAGCACTATTAGCATGTCTAACAAAAATGTTGTGCTGTGGTGAATCAAAGAACACTTCCTGGTGCAGGCCTTATTCTTGCGATAGAGACACCTAAACTCGCCACAGTACATTTTAATAGTTTAATGACATTTTTTAAAATCTTTTGATGTCATGTTAATATGACATAGACTTCATATTCTACATATCTGGCTGGGAGCAGTAACTTCTTGGACAAATAAAGCTCACAGTTAGTGAACTTAAGACATGCTGGGAGCAAAATTGTTACTGTCAGATGGAGCCCACTCCCATTTCCAGTCTTTGTGCTAAGCTAAGCTATGCTAACAGGCTGTAGACTGTAGATTTATAACAAACGTACAGATATGAGAGTGACATCAATCATCCCAGCTAAAGGCCTTTACACACTGAGGATGTTTTTGTGTGTGATTAATTTGCAAGGTAAATTTTTTTGGCTCCTGTACCATGAATGAAGACATCAAGCAATGTGTGAAACAGACGCCACATCTCAAATGTCACGACAATGACTGTCACACATTCGCATCACTACCGTTATAAATAGTTTTGATGTGAAGTATTCACAAGGGAGCATTTTGCATTTTCATGGTGTTTATTCGACACGCCCATTTACTCTCCCCTGACAGCGATTAAGTGTATTTCCCCTTAAGGTCAAACTTTTCCTTTAGCATTAGGTCGACCCGGGTCTTGCCTGATGGACACCGGAAAAGGCTCTAGCCTCCACACTGATTGTAAACAGGATGAATAGTTCTAAACTGTTGAATTGGTAAATGGTTAATGTTGAATTAAGTTTTGTTTAGGCCTGTTGGACTGTGTCTCAGTATGGATGTGAGAGCGCCACAATTTTAACAGCCAAGCCTCTATGGAAGAGGAGAGGAGAGGAGAGGAGAGGAGAGGAGGCAAGTTGTAGGAGACAGTGTCTGAATTAAGTTTCTGAAACACGAAAAAAAAAAAACAATAAAGACCACAAACATGTTCTGTAAGCATGTTGTGAGTATTTAAGTGAATCCAGTGTTTGAAACAAAAGGCCAAAAGTTTTCACGAGGACTTTGTTGTGTGTGTGTTTGAGGTACCGGCTGAAAAAAGAGTGAATGGGGTCTCCCTCCTTGTAAATGTCAGGATTTCCTGAACAGCCTGACCCTCGTTGACCTGACGTGGAGGCTGAGTGGGTGTTGTGATGTAAAGTTGAATAAGACATTGTTCCTCAATGCTAAGAGGGTTTTCCACAAGCTTTTCCTCTCTGATACCGGCCCGCCGGCTCCACAATTACTTGTGTTCCTACTGTATGTAGTGCATGAACAAAGCTGGGTGTTGTCCAGTAGGATTTCTTATTGTACCCCTTTTTTTTTAATGCCTCAAGCGTAAAGAAATAGCTTTTATTTCTTACAGAGAATTAGATGATACTGTTTTAATACTGTACGGTAAATGTGAATCAGCAGCCAGCTCAGCATTAGGTTGGAAAAATGAATACAGCTCTGTCCAAAAGTAACAAAATCCACCTACTAGCACCGTTTAAACTCACTACTTATCATCATTATATGATTGTTTAACCTGCACAAAAGGCAAAAAGTAAAAATGAGATATCTTAGTTTCACAGGGTGTTATGAAGATGACTATTTTTCTGGCAGGGTGCAGAGTCAGGCTAGCTGTTTCCCTCCCATTTCCAGTCTTTGTGCTAAGCTAAGTTATCTAGCTGCTGGCTGTAGCATTGACATGTTAAGATATAATATGTAACTTTTATACATTAAAACGTCTAAAAATTTTGTTAGAGTTGTGTACTTAGATGATCTCAAAAGATAATCTAAATCTGTCATGGACATGGTTTGTGTTATCTGGTCGCCTGTCAGTGGCGTCATGCAGCTACTTTATTCAGTGTTTTTACTGTTTTATATCAGTAGGCCCGTTTGTTTTAGAGAGGTGAAGACCTCTGTGAATAATCCGACTACAGGTAAAAAACTCAAGAACATCTGGATGTTAAATTATTAGAGAAAAAAGGCAATTCAAGGCAGAATTGTCATGTCTTCATGCAGTCCCGCCGTTCCGCATAAAATTGCGATATGGGGGGGACAGAGTTGTCTAGCCCTTGAGACGGCACCGGTGGTAGAAACAGCGCTGAAACAACGTCTGTATAAAAGTTACATGGGTGGCACAGGTGTGACGTTTCGACGATGTGTTAGTAGTGCGACCTACCGCTGTGATAGTAGTTAGCAGCTAACTCTCAGAAGGAGAACAATGGCCAAAAATGTCCACAAATTGGGAAAACAATGAGGTCCGGGAGCTCCTTACTCTCTGAGCAGAGGACGAGATCTGCCGCCATGTAACAGGTAAATATGGTAAATGACTGCTATGTTATGGCATTTTTATGGTTTAGAATGGCTGATGACACGTGTGTTCTATGTCACACTAGAGGCCGACCATGCCAGCATGCTGACAAAATCACACACTGGAGCAGAATGATGCTGCAGCCTAATAGCACAATCTCTATGTAAAAAGGACCATTGTTTTGACTGAGAGACCTCTAGTGGCAAAAAATTACATGATGTACGTTTAGCAGACAGATGTGAGAGTGGTATCAATCCTCTCATCTGACTCCTGGGAAGGAGGGGAATAAAATGTGAAACTATTCCTTTAAGTTGAACTGCATGACTTTATCACCATCACAGAAAACACTGATAGATATACTGTATGTTAATATTGTTTTTGAGACCACACACAGGCCAAACTCCTATTGACCCAAGTCTGTATTAAAATCAGCAGTGCTCACCTGGTCTGTCGAAGAGGAATGGGCAGTGAGATGCAGAGGAAGGGGTCAAAGGTGTTGCTCTGTTTCATACAGTGGGGGCAAGTCAGTGAAGATCTGAGGGAGAGAAAGTACACAGTTACATTAGCCTTGACAAAACCAACGACCTCCAAACTAATCTCGAAGTCCTCCTGATTAAGTCTGGCAGGAGAGGGGATGGCTTAATCTTGTTACACAAGCTCACAACACGGTCAAAATGAACATGGTGTTCCATACAGAAACTCTTGATCTGATTGTGAGAACGGAAAAGATGAGTGATGTAACTGGTGAGAATGAGAGAGACAAGGAGTTGGAGTGAGGAGGGGGTGGGGGCTAAGTAGTAAAAGAAACCCCCAGGGGTGATGGGGGCTATAAAGGGGAACCAGCAGAAGCGGTTTCCATCTTGTTGCATCACTCTCACCAGTGCTACTAACACTTATGTGATGCCATTACGGGATCCCGAGTAGAGAAACGTAGGGAGCTTTCCTAAGTGATGGCCTCTCCTCCTCTGCATCCTAATAGGGCACAGATCACTAAAAAGGAAATGTCCAGATGTGTACAGCAGGGTTTTTCCTGTTCCAACAGTTTTCCATTCAGTTCCTTTTGTTCATGACTCTTTTAATGAATCCCACTCAGTTTCACAGGAGGAACTTATTCAGGTTAGCTAATTGTCTGAACAATGAGTCAGAGAGCCCGCTAAAGTTAATGGACTGATTGCTGGAAGTGATTCTGTAAACTGTCCTGCAATTAAATTAAATCTTTTGTCCAGTATTTAGAGCTAATCTGTGCAGGATTTCCTGGATAAGACTTTCTGTAAATACATAATAATTAAATTAATCTTAAATAGGTGCTTTGGTTACTTGAATTAGCAGCAGCAGTGTGTGCAGACCAAAACTACTTTACACAGGTGGATTCGATATCAACCAGTCAGACAAATAAAAACAAATAGCATTAAAACCGAAATCAAAATAAAGCACTCTATGTGTCATCTTTATCTAAACCAGTGATTCCCAAATAAAGGCAACAGGTTTAAACAGTAAAGTTAGCCAAAAGTGATGGATAAATTGTTGAAGTTAACGCTGGCTAAAAGAGTGGAAACAGTTTAAATAGTTAGCTTAAAAATAGTGGAAAAACTGGTGAAATAGGTCAAAGTAATGTTAGTGAAAATGCAGTTAAAATAACTAGCTAAAAGAAATAATAAAGCACTTGAAACACATAAAAACAATGGCTAAATATTCAAAACAATTAGCTAAGAGTAGGCTAAGGAAAAAAAGAGTTGAAATAGTTAACTAAAAGTAAGGGATTAACAGATAGCTAAAAGTAATAAGCAGTTGAAATTGTTAGCTAAAAGTAGGCTAATGGATGAGTAGTTAAAGTAGCTAAAAGTAGACTAACTAATTAAGTAGTTAGCTAAAAGTAATGGAAAACAGTTAAAAGAATTAGCCTAAAGTAGGCTGTGGATAAACAGTTAAAATAATTCGCTAAAAGTAATGGGTAAACTTCAAAATATCTAAAAATTAACAGTTGCAATAGTTCAGCTGGAAGTAATAGATAAACAGATGAAATTGTTAGCTAAAGGTAATGGATAACAGTGACGTAGATACCTAAAAATGATAATAAGCAGTTAAATAGTTTTTTTTATTTATATTTATTAATTAATGGATAAAAACTAAGAGTATGGATGAACAGTTAAACAGCTAAGAAGTAACCAATATATAAACAGCTGAAACAGTTAGCTAAGATTTAGCTAATATAAACAGTGGAAACAGTTAGCTCAGAGGTTGCTAATGAATAAAAACAGTTACTTCGTTGTAATAGTTAGCTAAAAGTAACAAGCAATTGAAATAGCTAAAAATAGGCTGATGGATAAACAGTTAAAGTAGTTCGCTAAAAGTTATGGATTAACAGTGAAAATAGTTAGCTCAATTCAGCTAAGAGTTAGCGAATATATATACATGAGTTGGCTAATGGATTAGCAGTTGAAACAGTTAGCTAGAAGTTATTGCTGAGCAATTTTAACAGGTAGCTAAGAATAGGCCAATGGATGTACAATTGAAACAGTTAATGTAAGCTAAAACTACTGATTGAAACGTCTTCTGCCACGAGTAGTACTAATTGAAAATTGTCCAAAACACTGACGGTTAAATTGTTTGAAAAATTGTAACACTTTCCATTTTTATATAGTTAAAAGTGTTAAATACATAACTTCCAGTTTCAAATCATATCAAATGAACTATTTGGTACATGACCAGTGGTTTGGATGGTGGTGTACTTGACTCCACCTGACGGAGGATACATCAGACAAAAAACACTAGGAAACACTGATCTAAACCCTGTCAGTAACTGATGAGTCTGTCCTCCTAGGCTTGTCCAATCTTCAGTGGATGTTTTCCACATTTATATCTAGGAGTGACAACAAGAGTGTGTGGAGGCAACCTGTGCATGCAAACTCGTAAATGTCATTTACAAACCAACAGGAAAAAATATTTAATGCAAAAAAAAGGGGGAATAAAAAAAGATTAAATGTCCTCTATCTCAGACACTCCTGTGCGCAAAAGGGCAACTTCTCAGTCTTATTAAAAGACTGTTCATATTTTACAGGTCTATAAGCGTGAAGGATGGTCTGCTGAAAGGGAGCATGTCTGCTCAGGTAAAACATATCCATAGTGAATTTGAAAAGTTATAACTAATAAAAGCAGGGAAATAAAGGAAATGGCACTAGCTTTTCTGCTAGCATCAAAATCTGACACTACAGTGGACTTTAAGAGTCCAGTGTGTAGGATTTAGGGGGATATATTGGCAGAAATATAATATAGTATGATAATCACCTGATAATAAGAACAACTGTGTTTTTGTTACCTTAAAAAGAGCCGTTTAAGTCTACGTAGGGAGCGGGTCCTTGTCTATGGAAACAGTGATGCTGCACCTCCATGTTTCTACAGTAGCCCAGAATGGACAAACCAAACTCTGGCTCTAGATAGGACCATACACATTTTTGTGTTTTCACATTTTCAAGCTGGCCACCATGGCAAGAAGCCTCTCTGCAATGAATACCATCAAAAAAAACATTGATTTTTTAAAAAACAGCTTTATTCTGTGTTTTACTGGTTTAAATCACCTGATCAGTTCGTCTTGTAGAGGAGGTGACCTCTGCGAATGATTCTGCTCCGGGTAAATAAAACCCTCTAAACATCTAGATATTAAGTTATCAGAGAAAAATGTTGAGCACACATTAGCAGATGCTAGGCTAACAGCCTGCTCCGACACGCCTAACAGCATCACAAAAACACTGATTTGTGATGTGAAACTGCTTTTTCTGTTTTTTTACCCATTTAAATCACCTGGTCTGTTTGTTTTGGAGAAGAAGAGACCTCTGTGGATAGTTCTGCTCCTGGTAAAAACCTCCTGAACGATGAACACTGAGGAAATTCTAATTAGGAGAAGTTTCAGCTGGTTGAAATCTGCAATCCTCACCACTAAATGCCCCTGAATCTTACACACTGCTCCTTTAATACTATATAACCAAACTTGGATAAACAGATTTATAGGCATATCTTCATTTTCGTGCTGTAATTACAGTGTACAGTGCTCGTGTCATTATTCTGAACTACTTTTTCATTTCATGCTTTTATTATCGGCATGATGGAAATAAATCTGCAACTATGTGCGGTGAAATAACTTTATCAATGACAGGTTTGTGACAGTGTATGGAAAGCACCGTGCTGCACATAAATTGATAACAGACTTGTGTGAAACATAACCCGGCAGTAATAAAGCACACAGAGTGTTATCACTGTGGGAGACTTAAATCGCTCATAAAGTAAAATCATGTTTTCTACACCCTGATGAACACATAGGGACGATATTAACATTAAATCAAGGAAATTAATTGATTCATTTCAAACGCCAAATTGCTTTCTGATGTCATAAACCATGCCTGATTCTCATCACTCCCCAAGCTTATGTGTGTTGAACTTTCACAGCCTTCACGTGACATCCTACCATGGGAAATTAAGTCATAGATGAACTGTTCAAACGTGTTTTCCTTATAGCAAGGCACCTGACAGACCCGGCGGGGGAGGAAAGGGAGGAGTGAATAAAGCTCTATTCAAGCAAGCCCAGCTGACACTGGCTCTTAGTGGATCTCTCCCTCTTGGCAGAGCATAATGGCTGCCCTACGGATGTCTTATTCTCGCCAGGAAACAGTGAGGGTAACTGCACTCCATGCATACAAATCACACTCAGCCTCCACTAAAACATAGATGTGCCCCGCACTGCTCTAAAACACTTAAAAAGAGAAAAGGAGCAAAGGAAGAGGTGATATTCTGGTGATGCTCTAATGGAGGAAGCGTGCAGAGGTTGAGAGGTATGTACCCCCCCCCCCCCAGTCTGGGATGCAGCCAAGCTGAAGAGACTCTGCTTTGCCACACACACTGCTAGAGCTTTGGAGTTTCCAGAGTAGCGCAGGTATCTTTAGCTAATTGATTTTCTTTCCTAAGAGAGGCAATTAAAAAAACAAAAAAGTCTCAATAGGTTCAAATTAAATAGACTGGCAGCTAATGCTTCTCACTAAGCCTGGCAGCTATCCTCTGTTGGGGGATGAACGCTAGTTTATTCACCACATTAATGCTCTGAAATGAAACCTTAATGTGAGCCTCATAATTCACTAATTGAAATTATAATGTACACATCATAAACAGACCCACTGACGGGCCTGTGGGCTCGTGTAGCCAGAGCTATCTCCACAGCCCTGTGTCAGCACTAGAAGAAGGTCTGGTAGTGCTTATTATCATTCTGCTCTTGATTGTTTGAATTTCTTTAAACCAATCACAATCGTCATCAGCGGCAGGATGCAGCAACAGTGCTCCTGAGCCCCATTTCCACCAAACACTTTTGGTATACAGTATATATAAACTGTAGTACCTTTGGAACCAACAGTAACCCTTCAGACATGGTACCTAGACCCTAGGGTTTCCACCACAGACAGTCCTCTTAACCCTTTGAACCCTGACCAAATTGGTGCAGTTTCTTTCAAAACATGGGGAAAAAGGCAGTAAATGAAAGAAATGTCCCACAAA